ACTTATCCTATAACTTATCCTAACCCTAATCCTAACCCTAATACTTTAACATAACAGGGAGCTTTTTAATAGTTTTATGTGAGTAACGTTTCAAAATAGGAATTAAATCTTATGACTAATCAAATAAGGGTATGGATTACATAATTCCGCGATTAAAAACACATTTTCCTCATAATATTACCTTAATATCATATAAATATTTGTTTTTTATAAAAAGCCATAATGGAAAACATTGGATTTTCCTGTTTCGATTGTATAACTTGCTAACCACTAATAAATCTTCCATCTTGGCCTTTTGATCTAATCTGACATAAAAAACGGTGACTGAAGAAGGCATTTTGTTAGGTTTTTTGCTATAATATTTGTTGTAATAATTAAAAAAATTTTGTGAGTTTATTGGTTTTTTATCTAATTTATAAAGAAATTCTATTGTGATGATTGATGATTTATAATAAAAAGAGAAATTTATAATAAAAATAATCATATCTTTATAAAAAGAACTCATTGTTTAATTAATTAATTAATTGAATGCATTTAATGCATTTATTTACAATATAATAAATAATTTATTGTCTTAAGTGGCCAATATAAAAATTTGATTATCTAAATAAATTGCATATTCATTTGAATAATTATATTTAACCTAACGTAGTAAAAAGTTCTCTCTCTCTATATATATATCGATATATTCTAAAAAAAATCGACTTTTTTTTTATTTTTGTGATGAAGCATAGTTCAGATTATTCGTCAGGGGAAGTAATGCAGACTTTTCTCGGATGTTCGCGCAGGCTTTAGATGAGAAGATTGTAAAATCTGGAGTCCTATATGAATTGATTGAAATTTCCAAAAATAATAATTCATTATGTACTATTTAATAAAGCTGTCAAACCTACTTTCTTTATTCATTGTATAAAAATTCATTTGATATTATGCATTTATATATATATTTTTTTTTTAAACATGCAGAATATTGCCATCTAAATTTATGAAACTTGGTAATAATAGAACTCTTTTATCAATCCTTTTACAATAATAAATTTTTCTACAAATGGATCAAATTCTAATGATACAATTCAATTGAATTCAACTAAATTTGAAATCAAATAGATCAATCGTAACATCAATATTAACTCAACAACAACATTAATTAGATCATGTCTATTCGTACCTGTTGTACATTATTAATCATACCGTACCTTTCACTTCATATCATAACGTTAATCATACCCAAAGGGTATGTGATATTTTGATTCCTTATTTCCTTGGTATTTCAGTATGATTGGTACCTATATATGATTTATATTTTGCTTATTATATCATACTACTTTACTATATACTTAATTAAAATAAACAGAATAAAGCTTAAAAGCAAAAGGTTACTAAAGGTCTATAATACGTTATTTAAAAATCGTTGTCGGACCGATTCCCGACATCCATTTTCCCGACGTAACCTTTTCCCGACAACGCTTTCCCGACAGGACAAAATCCCGAATGGACATTTTCCCGAATAATACATTTTCCCGACATGACATTATTCCGACGAACAATATCCCGAAAGACAAAATCCCGACATGACATTTTCCCGAATTCAAATTACGAAAAATGATGGTTTAATAATAACCATATATTAGAACTGTTTATTACCGTATTTTGCGGGCCACAGTTCCTTCCATGCACAGTACCCTGCAAAAAACAACGACCTTATTATCTAAATAATATAATAAATATCCCAGGTGTTACATGTATAAGGCCTCAATTGTTATATAGGTTTAAACTTCCTCCATTAATAATAAAAACTCACGCAATAGAGGGGGGTATAAGGGTCAGCCTTCCGAAATTTGTATTATACCCCTTATACGGTAATAATTGATTAGTATCTAACATAACTAACAAGTCAATTGCTGATTGAGCTGGATATTCAATGAATATTTGTTGAAATTGCAATATCTGTTAGTAGATTTGTAAAATCCGGATAAAAGGATATAGGATGACGATAATAATTTTTTTTTTTAATTCCGTCTAGTGTAATATATATGCACTATATAATATTAAATATTAATTTTACCAAAAATAAAAAGAATAACATGTAAGGAATTATAAAAGAAACATTCACAATTTTATTATTAAACGAAAATTATTAAGCGAAATTTTAAAATTTCCAACATTCGATCATATGACGTAAGACGTGATGCGTTTGGTTTAACGCGTCTTCAATTCACGTGTCAATCGAATATAAAAGCAAGATCTTTTTTTCTTTTTTTTCGAAAAATTCAAAATTCATTCTTTATTTTTACACTTTTACATAAAATAATTTAATTTAATAAATCCTTTAAATATTATGAATATTATGACAAAAAAATTAAAATGATGAAGGAAATTAAGAAAAACAAAGTGTAATATACAGTATATTTAATAACATTAATTAGGCCATTAATTAGGCCAAGTCGTCTTTAGTGAAAAATGAGAAAAGTTAATAACGAAAGATGTAAATAAGAATGAAATCGATCGAAAATATTAATATCAAGACAAAAAAAAAAAATGCTTACAAGTTCTTTTAGACTATTTATAAGTTAAATAATATTTTTTAAAAAAATCGCTATTGTTAATATCCATCCCAAAAAAATTTTATATTACAGGTAAGGTGTAGATTTTTTTATTGAAAATTTTGAAGAATTTATAAAACAATCAAACATAATCAAATATTTGTTTATTCTAATAATAATCTTGAAGAGTGTACATTTGAGGAGGCCAGTCTGTTCATTTGATCGTATTATGTCCTTTTGTCCTATAGGCTATAGGCAATGAAGAATTGAGTAGTATATAATGCTTGGGGAAAAAGATGATCATCATGATGGTTTATACTTTATAGAAATGATTAAATTATCATATCTAACAAGACACTACGAAAATAATTAATAGTTGTATTAATTTAGAAATGAACAATAGCGAGAAAATGAGCTGAATAAAAATACAAAGGTACTGGATAAAGGTAATCTTTTTATTGTAATAAAAAAACGCACAAAGGTATCGCTATAATATAATTGAAAATTGTTAATTATTCAGAATCCCTCGCTTGCAAAACAGCAAAAGCAAATTTCAGAGCAAAAAAAAAATATCGAATAGTGCTCACAATATTAAATTCGATGACTGAATAGATTTAGATTAATTGATTTACCATTATATGCTCCAGTGTAGAATAGAACAACAATACTACAACAATTAACACATATTCTAGTTATTTAAAAGGATTGATAATTTGGATGCTACAGATACTCTTAGAGGATGGTTTCTAACAGCGTGTAATACCTATCAATAACACAGTTGTTATATATCGGAATATATCGCACTTGTAATTATAATTAACTTTATAAATCCTGTAATCCACATATTCCACATCACGTACATCACGTACATCATTCATACTCAAAACAAATAGTAATATTTTTTTTATCATTGACATAATAACAATGAATTGACCTATAATATTCGTAAAAATCATGATAATCACGATTTCCATAAGATCCTGCGGCTATGTAGCGCGAATCCTAAGAGTATCCCTGCGTAAACCTTTACTATAATGAGACAATAATACGGAAATTATATCCTGTAATTTGCAATAAATAGTCGGATATTGAATATCCGGTCAGAAAGTAACACAATTATATAAATTCATTTGAAAATTGAAATTTGAAACAAATCAACAAATCCTTTTATATAATGACAATATATGCTATATTCAAATCCGGTAATTTTTTTTTAGGATTATTAATAGTAAAATTTTAAAGTTTCGCGATCTTTGTACGATTTTGTATATTTCGGTATTTTAGTATAACCTAAAAAAAAAAAAAGAATGACTGTTCTCTCCATAGATTAGTCGAGATTAGTCGATAATCAACCTGATTATTATTTTTTTTATGATTAAATCGTGTGGCGATTTTGTCGTACGATGGCTTTTATCCTAACCTTTTATCAACAACAGATTATAATTGATTGGTTTATATTAGGAAACTCGTTAGTAAGAAAGAATTCTTATTCTACTCAGAATAGTATAAGATTATAGGTACAATAACAATAACGTAAAGTTACACTTTTCCCCGGAATAAAATCAAAGAAAAAATCCAAAAAATTCAGAAAGAAAAAATTTTACCCCATGATGTCATAATTTCGTAATAAACTCTTGTTTGTGCAATATACTTACTTCTTTTATGTGTTTTAGTTTAACCAAAATGAAATGATTAACATCAAACATTTCATCATGCATAAGAAAAAGCTTCGTTTATTTAGTTTATTAGCCTTTTTGGCTTTTTAGTTAATATAATGAGATACTATTTTGAAACATGGTTTTTATAAAGGAAATTTATAAAGTTTCCTAGATTCATCAAATGATTTTTTTTTATGTTTATATACTTTCGGGGTATTTTTAATAAATAAGATGTATATTTGTGTTGTTTACTATATATATATATATTACCATATTATATTATTATTATTATAAAATATAAATAAAAATAAAATTTAAAGTATACATATATTTACAAACAGCTGACAAGTTTGTAATACAACAAAAAATAATTTTGCCAAAAAGTCTTTATGTTTAAAAAGGATCGAACCAATATTATTGGTATTTTAAATTCATTATAATGAGGTTCAAATAGTGATACACTAAACAGGAGTACTGTATATTACCTGCTTTTCATATTAGGATTATCCGGTTATGCCGATTATTTAACGGTAAGACTGTTACACTCACAACAACTCTTGCTAGGGAATCCCTTATATAAACGATTAAAATTTCCAAAAAAAAAAATAAAAAAATTTTAATAAAAATTTAACTCCCTAATACATCATCCTTTCCTTTTTAACCTCTTTTTTTTCCTTCGCTCTTTTTATTAATTATCAATCCACATTCTTTATATATAAAAATCACATATATATATATATACATACATATATATATATATATATTATTCATATAATAATTATATTTCATTTCTTAAAAAATAACAAAATAATGAAGGGAAATTCCCTTGTAAAAAGAGTACCATATAAATTAAAATTTCAATTTCCTTCGTTTCCAAAATTAACTAAATCAAAACCATCACTAATTCCTGATGTATTAGATGAGATATTCCGTCATCTTAGTGATGATCGAACAACTTTACTATCTTGCATCTTAGTATGCAGATTATGGTGTAGATTGGTTATGCCTATCCTTTGGAGTGACCCGTTTTTAAAACGAAACGAATATGGATACTTTGCCATTCGTACTTATATAACATGTTTAGATGAGCACGAAAAAGCATTACTGGTTCAACAAAATATTCGCATACCACAATTACCCCGACCTCTCTTCAATTACCCATCCTTTTTATTAACATTTAACTACAACAACCTTGCGGTTGCTGTAGAAGATTTTACCACCGGAAATGAAGTAGATTTCCTATGCATGCATGAGAAAAGGGTGATCATTTCAAATGTGATCATCAATATGATTTTCACACGTTCCAGAGGGATCAGGAAATTTGACTATTATAGGTCTCACCTGTCAAGTCAAATAATTTTAACCCTGGATCATTCATTGTCATTATTCGGAAGAAATAAAGACAATGAAGATTACAACGCTCTTAATAAAATTAATTCGTTTAAATTTAACGGATTTTGTATTAAAGATGAAATATACAAAGTAACATGGCCAAATCTTTTTTTAAGTATATCAAAATCGGCAACAAATATTCGGCACCTTTCATTTCACATTAAACGTAAAGATTTTAATATTCAAGCGATATATCATTCAATCGCTAATTTAATAAAATCTCAAAAAATCTTGGCCAGTTTTGAAATTAACGATATTTGGTTACGACAATCAGATAAAATTATTTTCAATGCATTAGCAACTCAAGCTCATACTTTAAACCATTTAAAATTAGATGGTAAATTCAGATTAAGTACTCTTATAGAATTATTATCTGTTTGTTATAATTTAAATACATTAGAAGTAAAAGAATTTCATAAGAATGATTTTATACCATTGCTTAAATATGATGGTGTAAATTTTTCTATTAAAAATCTTAATTATTTGCAAAATCAAACAAATTATTCGGAACATGACGAATATGAAATTTGCTTGTTATTACAATTAATTTCAACAAATTTAGAAATGTTTTCTTGCAAATATTTTTGCCCCGAAATATTTGTAAATTTAAAAAAATATTCGGGGAATTTGACCCATTTACGTATAATAATTAAATCTCAAACAATAGTGAGATTTAGTAAAGTGATGTCAGTCATGTCAAATTTAAAATATTTGTATATTGAATCTCCTAGAGAAGAATATACATTATTTACAGAACAAATGATTGACCAATTGGCACATTCCCTTCCCTTTTCTTTGATTACATTATCATGTAATCTTTCAATCACTCAAGAATTACTTAAAGTATTCTTAAGTGGTTGTTTTGTCCACTTAAATACATTAGAATTATTTAATGTCCAAGAACCCGATAAAAAAATATCCTTATTAATTAGGGATTATTGCAATAAAATGAGTAGTTTAAAAACATTGAAATTAAGTAGATCTCTTTTAGAAAAGTTTACAAATATTAAGAAAAAGGGACCCTACAGAATTATTGGATCCACTCCTGATTGGTTCCAAGAACCTATTTAAGTTTCAAGGTTTTTTAAACACGTAGCATATTATATATTATATATAAT